AGAATTTAGAAGAAAATTAGTCTGTCATTGTTTGAAGGGGAAAGGTGTGATCCTAGCTGATGTAGTCTTTCTGATGTGGGAGTTAGGAAAACCATCTTTAAGAACACAGATGGAGAGATTAGTGTGATCACGGCCGTCAGAGTTGAAATGAGAAACAATAGGCTTGGAGAAATATTTAATCTTCACAGCCCTTTGATTTCTGTATCAATGGTCATTTTAATAAAAATAATGCATATTGAAGTGTATGAAATATCAGATTGTGCAAAAAATAGACTACTATCATAAGTATACTTCCCATGTCTAACAAGAAATGTTTTCCCTATTTTTGCCTGGGTGGTTATGAGGGGTGCAACAATAAAGACATCAGGCAGAAGAGCTTGATCAGCTGTGACAAGAGGAAAATTTACAACTGCAGATTATCTGCTAGGGAAGAACAGCCCTGGAAGAAAACCTAACATGTAACCCTGACATTTAACAGTCCAGTAGTCTTTGCTCATTCCTCTGTAGACAACCTTAGAATCCTGTGACCATCCTCCATATTTGTTAAAGTCAAAATGTGAAAGCAGAGATTCGTGCAGTAAACTTTATAACCTTCCGTATATGTATGAAACAAAATAGCTCACTAAGCTCATAGAAAAGCATGCATGGTCTTTTTTTTTGTATTTATCTGTACAATTCACTAATATTAAAGTTTTGAAATAAATGTACAGTATAATAAATTTCACCCCCTTTATATCTACCAATTTGAAATAACAATTACTGCTCAACTTAACACACCAATGCAAAATTCACCTTAAATATTGTACAGTAGAGGTCATTGAACTTTCATGGTTAAATATTATTTGGGGCATTGTGGTACATTCATGGTTGAAAGGATAGAGATACTGTATGTATGAATAAAAACACTTCCCACCCAATCAAGCCTTCTGTTGGTCTCCATTTCCTTTCATTAATATTCCTACTGTAGGAATACTAACCTCCTCTAACTCAGCTTCCACCCCTTCTGTATGCTTGAACAGGCAGTTTTGTAGCAAAACCCACATTCGTTTCTTCAAAGGCTTCTTAAAGAAACAACTTCTCTAGACTAACCAAATAGTTTTGAAAGAAAAGGAGTGAAAATATATATACAGTATATATTTTTTTTAATGCGAGGATATCTTATGAATCTTCTAGGTATAAAATCAAATAGTGTTACAGTTTCTCCCGATAGTGTGCATGCTGATGTATTTGTCATTGACAATGGGCATTCAGTCCAAAGGATTTTCCTGCAAGCTAACAATCCAGTTATAAAAGATTCAATCTATTGCCTGGCATATTTTAATGAAATAGTTTGTGTAAGCATATTCAACTCTGATTGTCTTTCTCATCAGAAGACGAACCTAAAAAGAAGCCAAGCAGGGAAGAGAAAAAAACAGCTGAAGCAACAAAAACGTCCACGAAACACTTAAGGAAAGCAGGTATGAATTAATTTGGTTGTAAAGAGATGTAAACCAAGGCATGGCAAAATCTCAACCATGTTATTCTTTAGTATACTGTATATGTGAACTTGTTATAATAATATATTAGGTTTCAGGTTCATGTCTATAAAAGTTGTCTTTCCTCAGGGGTATCACTTTGTTCCTATAGATTTCTGAATGAATCATATTTATTAATGAACAGACTCTCCCAGGGTCTTAGATTTCTGAGAGCCGCTGGACACAGGCACCTCACTGCCATTTGTCATTAAGTTTCTATTTGCTGATGTATGCAGAACCCTACAGTATGTGAAAAAGTGCTTTGGATCAAGAAAATAACATGTTAAATCTGTACTAATTAATATAGTTTTTCTTAAATTCCATTACACATAAAAATATCTACTATACTGGAGAAGTATTCTTCCAACAAATACTTTAATTGTAGATGTCAGCATACTTTTGGAAATGTCTGTGCTGAGCTATTTTGTTAACAGTACCCAAGCACGCAATAAGCAATTCAGCATTTTGACAAATTAAAAAAAAATGTTCACAAAGTAGCTTTTGGAAATAAGGTAGCATTTACAGTAGGTCAGAATTTGTGACGAAGGAGCCTTTTTTTGTAAACAGAAGGCCTATTTCTGTATAAGAAAAAACTATCCTTATTTCTTAGTCATCAAGGTTGTTTAATATGTAGGATATTTCCAGCATGTTGTCACAGTGGAACAGACATTGGATCAGAGTTCTTGGCCCGGGGTTCAGTTCTGGGTTGGGGTGCCAACTGTGTGGAGTCCTCCCTTCCCATGGACTTTCTAGTTTGGTCTAGTTTTCTCCCATCCACAAATGCCTGCTGAGTATGTCTGATCGACTATTTTAAACCCTTCAAGGGGCAATGCCCATTGTGCCCATGCAGGGCGAGAGCTGTCATGTGCCCTCAGTTGCACCTCGTGCTCTGTGCTTCCAGAATAGACTCTAGGTTGCCATGACCCTTAGCAGCATAAGTGGCTTTCTGATAATGGATGGATGTTCAAAGTATTAGCATTCCTTTCAGATAGTCAAGGCACATTCTTTGTTAATATTCTTACAATTGCCACATTGTAAGAGTTTACTAACATGCTGCATAGTGTGGACTACTTATGTCTGAGATTTAATTTCATACGTTCAGGCTTCAAAAGGCTAGTTAACTTTAACATTTTTGAACAAGGATACTTTGCCATACTTATTTCTGTTTAAGTGTGTTCTTGAGGTATTATATTTTTTTCTTGATGTTTCTTTTAATAATAATGTAACGCAACGGGGGCTCAGGCGGGCGCCCTTGCCGCATCTGGTCGGCCCAAAGTATAGGTGGCTCGAACCCGGGACTTCCGCGTCTCTCTGCAGCGACCTAGCCCCGTGAGCTAAAGAGAGATCTCTCC